TTGAGTGGAGTCGTTCGAAAAGAAGTTTCTATGGCCCCCTTGCTCATTTAACACTGCATCCGGGTGCCGATGGAGATACAGCGACCCTTGCTCACTTATCACTGTGCTCGGGCCACACAGCGCGCCACTTACGGGTGACGTCCTAGCTTTAGCGCGATTTCGTTCTGGATTTGTTTATACCATATTTAGGGCCTTCGTATTTAGACCTCGTATAAATACTCGAGGGACGTAAATGTAATTACGTAATAAAGGAAAGGGCAAATATGTAATTAGGGGAGGAGCCCTTATTCTATAAAATGGCATCATCACCCTCACAAACAATAAGCCTCCTCACATCCCCTAAGCTCTAAGCTCTCTCTCCCTCTTCACATCCCCTAAGCTTTAAGCTCTCTCTCCCTCTTCAACAGAGAAATATAATACAATCAGTGCGGACGTAGCCCAAACCTTAGGGTGAACCACGATAACTCTTGTGTCATTTACATTTTATGCAGATTCACGGTCGGATTTACGTTGTACCAAGACCATCCGGTTTTGTGCAACAACATTTGGCGCCGTCTGTGGGAATCGACACAAAAAACTATGTTGTTCTCTTTCATTTTTTTTACCTCAACCGTGAAACCTCACCACAACCTCCACCTAAAATCTGCAGAAACCCAAGTACCAAACCACCCACAAGCAGAGACACACACATTCTGCACTACTCCCAATAGCATCCAACATTGGATTCCAGAAATCTCTATCCCTCTCTGCAACTTCTCTCTGCTGCTGGAGTAGATAATACTTTCAGAAGGAAATTCGATCGATAAGGGTTCTTGAAGTCAAGCTCGTGAGCGTGAAAGACAGGATGAGGAGGGAGGACCGCATAAATCCAAATTGAAAGGCCCGACAGCTTGACAAGAAAGCACTCTCTCCTCTTTCTCTCAGTGGTTGATATTTTGGTTTAGAACAATGCTCGGAGCCGGAGCTCAACTCCACGTGATAGATCGCTCAGCTGCCATCCGTCCGGTCCCAAAAACTTCGCCTTCTTTTTCCTCTTTGCATCGCTTGGTCTTCACGGTTGGAACAGGATTCATCAGACCATCAAAACGGTGTCGTGCGCTCAAATCTCTCCGCATCACCTGCAACAACTCTTCCTCTCGTTCTAGATCCTGCAACACCGAGGATCATCATGATTTCGACCACATCCAAGCTTCCCTCCTCCTCTCAGTATTACGACGAGAAATCGCGACTTGCACAGCGGGATGTTTTGCTGGCTTTCTTGCCGACGTGGTAAACTTCCTACGAAAGGAGCCTGCTTTGGATCCCGTTTCGAACAACGCTCCAAGAGCTGTGCAACGCCATACCTTCCACCAGGTTATGATCCAGCCCGAGATGGCCTTCTTCCATGACTGTTCTGGTCTTACCCAAAAAGGCCGCTGGAGATGCCGCCGGACGATGGTGATGCCATTGCTGACGATTACCTGCGAGAGGAGAGTGAGAATGAATCGAGGCCCGTTGAGAAGGGCGTGGTGCTAGCCGGCGAAAATGCCGACGGAGCAGCAGGCAACAAAGGACGTCATCGGGATCTGTCGGCTAGTAGACGTAAGAAGGCCATTAAGTTTGCCCACTCCGTCTGGAGGAGTTAGATCTGGCAGCTACTGGCCTTATTATTTTTCGTGCAATGAAGATTCTCATACCAGCATATCCAAGACCAGGTGGGAATCAACATTCGGCGGTCGTCGTCCATCGTCAGCCCTCACTCGCATTTCCACAGTTCCCAATTCGTGCTGCTGCTGCTGCACCTGGATAAGCCACGATTCATAGTGAAGAACTGTAGAAATGATGCTCCTCCTCTCTCCGCCACTTCCATTGCTTGCACTATCCTCGGTGTCCAGCCTTCCTCTTCCACTTTTGACTAAACTTTGGCTGATATTCCACCTGATGATTATTCTTAGAGAAAGTACGATCAAAAGAAAAAGAAAAAGAAAAAGGCAGGGAAGACTCATTTTTCTTTATTATTCCAAGCCATATGCAAATAGAGGGAAGACGGATGGTCTATGTCTACCCCCAGTCCCACCATGTGCTAGTGTAAAGCCGGGCCCAGATATAAGGAAGGTGTTTTTAAAGAATCAGGAGCTAGAAATGCTATATTAAATGCCGACGTCCCACAATGTTTTCACATGCCTCATAAGCTTTATCAGTGCTTTTCTGAAATTTGGAGGAAGATAGAGACTAAAGAAGCTTTTCTAGAAAAGCCGACGTGGACAACACAAACAAATCAACTGCTGACGCACAAAAGGTTGGACTACCAAAAAAAAATTAATTCTTCCGTGATCGCAGATAAGATCCCTTTTTCTTTATTATTTTGCTTTATCATTATTTGCTTCTCTAAGCCACCACCAGAGAATGATGAAACAACCCACTACTCAATCAGTCTCGGAGATAATTGCAGAAAAGCAAAAGCAAAGCAGAAAAAACCAAGAAAAAGCAGAAAGCAAAGGGAAGGCTTTCCTCTGCGAGAGCACATGGGTACACTACAAAAGCAAGGAATAACACCTCACCAGAGTGATGTGGTTTACTTTCCTTATTTTTGAATGATGTAATTTATTTTCCGTATCATTCGGAGATATCTGTATAAACCCTATTAGAGGGTAAAAAAACAAAAAAAACAAAAAAAAAAACGGCTGAGCCCAAAATAAATGGGCTGGAATGTTGTGTAGAAAGCGAAGGCCCATAAGCCTAAAATAGCACCAACCAGGTGATCAAAAGTACGCCAAGTACCCCACAATTATTCAGCAACCCGCCACTATTACCACCAACCAAGTGATCAAACGTACGCCCAGTACTCCAAAAGTATTCGGCAACCTGCCGCTATTACCACCAACCAAGTGATGAAATGTACAACCCGTACTCTAATATCATTTGGCAACTAGCCATTCATGTCATCAACTAGGTGATGAAATGTACAACCCGTACTCTAATATATCATCTGGCAACTAGCCATTCATGTCACCAACTAGGTGATGAAATGTACAACCCGTACTCTAATATCATTTGGCAACTAGCCATTCATGTCACCAACCAGGTGATGAAATGTACAACCTGCACTCTCCTTCATGCCACCAACCAGGTGATCAAAAGTACGCCCAATACTCCAAATTATACATGAGCATTACTCATGTCATTCATACATAAATATTCATGAGCATCACTTATGACTATCATTCATGTCAACATTCATGAGCATCACTCATGACAACATCCATGAGCATCACTCATGACAACATCCATGAGCATCACTCATGTCAATCAACATAAACATTCATGAACATCACTCATGTCAATCAGCTCCAAAAACTTTATTTACAAAAGCTCCAGCTTCGAAAGCTTCATTTACAGAGCTCTAGCTTCAAAGCTTCACTTGCAAAGCTTCACTAACAAAGCTTAAGTGCAAGGTATACAAATACCGCCTCCGAACAAACGCCACTTCGGCCCATACATGGATTCAATTTGAAGTCTCCAGCCAACAGACTCTATTGACCGCAGACTTGGGGGACTACATTAGGTACCATATATTGGGCCTCATGAAAAATACTTGGGGGACTCTAGCCCATTATTTATGTATTGAGGAGCGAGCCCTTGTTTTATAAAAGGGACTCCCTCACCATCATTAGAGCAGCATCAACTCTAGCCCATTATTCATGTACTAAGGAGCGAGCCCTTATTTTATAAAAGGGACTCCCTCACCTTCATTAGAGAGCAACACCGCCAGCTGAGCAACCGCCTCGCTGTGAGCATCACTCCTAACCCATCATTTATGTATTGAGGAGCGAGCCCTTATTCTATAAAAGGGACTCCCTCACCTTCATTAGAGAGCAACGCCGCCAGCTGAGCAACCGCCTCGCCGCGAGCATCACTCATAACCCATCACTTATGTATTAAGGAGTGAGCCCTTATTCTATAAAAGGGACTCCCTCACCTTCAAAACGCCACAAGCCGAGCCAAACAAGGCAACATAAGCCACGAGCCGAGCAGCCTCGCAACATGTGTTACTTCTAGTTGAGCATCATTTCACTTTGAGCACCGCCTCATATCGAGCATCAGTTCAAGACAACATCTAGTTACTTCGGCCCACACATGGACTGAATTTCAAGTCTCCAGCCAAAATACTCTCTTGACTGAAGACTTGGGGGACTACTGTTTATACCATATTTAGGGTCTTCGTATTTAGACCTCGTATAAATACTCGAGGGACGTAAATGTAATTACGTAATAAAGGAAGGGGCAAATATGTAATTAGGGGAGGAGCCCTTATTCTATAAAAGGGCATCCTCACCCTCACAAACAAGAAGCCTCCTCACATCCCCTAAGCTCTAAGCTCTCTCTCCCTCTTCACATCCCCTAAGCTCTAAGCTCTCTCTCCCTCTTCAACAGAGAAATATAATACAATCAGTGTGGACGTAGCCCAAACCTTGGGGTGAACCACGATAACTCTTGTGTCATTTACATTTTATGCAGATTCACAGTCGGATTTACGTTGTACCAAGACCATCCGGTTTTGTGCATCAACAGGATTCATTGTCATAAGGATTCGACGTAACTATGGAGTGCCGGCTGTCGACTACCTGACGCCCTCCCCCTCCTCCTTTATCCGGGCTTGGGACCGGCAATGTAAGATAAACTTACATAGGCGGAGTTAAAGTAAAGCTTCAATGAGGGTGTAAAATTAGTTTGGTAATATTCCTTTATTCTATTTAGTACTGTTAAATACCATACTCATGACAACCATAACATAAAAAATTTCGATTACTCCTACCGAAGATATTCTCCACTATTTTTGGCAATTGCACACTAACAATAAGTTTCTTCAAAACTGATAAAATTATCCTCCAATGTGATTTTGAAAAAATTCAAGTCTGACACTACACGACTATTTCAAACATAGAAGGAAACGTAGGAAACAGATTTAAACATGTAAGTAAATGGCATGATTAAGTAGAGTAAGAGGAAGGAGAGGTTACCAGAACACTAGGATGATACTTGTGGAACTGAAAGTTGAAGCGCGTCACATTTTTGCAGTTTCCCTTCATTAACTGGCAGAATTCACCAAGCATGCGGTATAGTTGAAAAGTGTCAGAAACTTCTCTTCTATAAATCATTGTATTTGTGAACTCAAGGCCATCTCATTGAAAGTTTTCGAAATTGATTTTGATAGTTGGGATGTGAGAAATCTTGCCCCACTCCTTTCCTATCCCCATTCTACAGTGTTCTTCAAGAATTTTACGATCATTGATTGCCAAATTCTGCAGTGGTATCGTTTTCAGGAAGTCCTGCAGGACTTTTATGCAAAAAATGGAGTCAATCTCTAAGAAGTGTAGACATGGCATTAGTAAGAGCATAGTTTGCTACAATGAAATATAAATGCTTAATTAGTAGTAGGCAGCTGAAGCGTCTATTTGAAAACTTAACATGATATCAGAGCATATATAGTTTGATATCATGAAGTATAAATGCTTGGGTTGCATGGCCAAAAGGTTTTATGATCTGCTTTGATTCACAGAGACGAGAATTGACGGTGTAGAGAACAAGAAGCTAACCGAAATATTGACGGTGATGGGAGAGAACTACAATGCTTTGAGAACCCAAATGTTGGAGTACATGAGCAAGAACCCTGAGAAGGAGCTCAGCCCAATTTCAAAGAAAAGAAAGTCTGAAAGCAGCCACAACACCACCACCAACAGTAACAATATCGTGAATGAAGCAGTGAATGGAAACTCCGAAAGCAGCTTCAGTGATGGCGAATCGTTCAAAAAATCAAGGGAAGGGACCATCAAGGATAAGACTTGCAGGTTCTTACCTTTTAGGTTTTATTTTAGAGAGCTTTGGTCCTATGTCCACTTCCTTTTTTTTCTTTTTTTTTCCTTTTTCAAAAGGATTGGAGTCTAGTCCCCCCTTTTTCTTGTATTTTCTTTTTAAGAGGGGTAATGTGTATGTTCCCCTCTTTTCTTGTTCTTGCTTTACTAGAGATCAGGTTTTTGTCCCTCCACTAAGTGCAACTTTTTTTTTTCATATCAATCAATTTATTTCTCTTGTACTGTCGAAGTTTTCTTAAAAAAATAAAAATTAATAAAAAGTTTGTCTGGACCGAATCATACAACAAGCCTGGCAACCCATATAATTAATTAGTGTTATATACATATAATTCTATGATCTTTTCCTAAATACTCACGAATTCTATCCTCAGTCTTCATTTCCATAATGTTACAAGTCAAGGGAGGGAGGTTTTTTTTTTTTTTTTTTTTTTTTTAAAGCAACGATATATTCATAAGTCAAAGGGAATAGCAGGTAAGCTGGCCAGGAAAAAATCTAGCCACTTTAAGGATTACAGTCTTTAAACAAAACATCAAGTAAAATGTTTGGAGGTTCTTCAAACCAAGAAACCTTAGTGGAGCTGGTAAGTGCGTAGTGAGCAAGACGATGGGCAGCTTCGTTTGCTTGTCGGCGCGTGTGGGAAGCAAATGCTTCAGTGATCTTGAGTAGCAAATCCCTTGTATCTTCCACTACAAGTCCCACATGGGAGAGATCTGGAGTAGATAAGTTCAAAGCCTTCACGATCAGGAGTGAATCACTCTCAAGAGAAAAGTTTAGAAAACCCCTTTCCGCAGCCAACATAAGACCTTCATGAGCTGGTAGGGCTTCAATGTGAAGGGGCAAAGAAACGTAGGAGAACCGTTTCATTCGAGCAGTGATACAGCTGCCATCATCCTCTCGAATCACTATTCCCAACCCCACCGAGTTTCATGTATTCCGTCCAAGCACCATCCACATTGATTCGCAGTCGACCATCAGGTGGTTTGCCATTTAAGTGGGTTGTTGCTTGGTAGATTGTTTGGGGGTTGGAATGACGCATTGAAGTTGAGAATAATTTCACCAATCATGTGCAATTTTACCTTACTTTCACCAAGGGTGGGAGTTGATTAAACAAGATTGAGCAGAAAATGTGGATTCATTAGAAGTTGAGAATAATTTCACCAATCATGTGCAATTTTACCTGACTTTGCCTTGTAATTTCTTGTCTTATTATATGTAACTAGGGAAAAAGCTATAATCATGAGAAAATTCCGTACACATTGCAGAGTAAAATTTCAATGATTAGTGTTATATTCGCACACCCTTTTTCCTTTTTACGTCCCACATTCTTATTAATTTTTGTTCATTAATATTTTTCAATTCAACTAATTCGAAAGTCGAAAATTACAAAAAAAGTGTGTGAAAGACTAAAATTGACATGTGGATAGTACTATGCTAAGAATAAATAGGATCAAAAGAAAGACCCCACCTATCCAACTAATGGGCGCCACTTATCCAACTACCTTCCACACAATCAAATGGCAACCTTTATATGTCCTCCGGTTAAACCTAACAATAATACCAGAAACAAACTTGGCACTTGGCAGCCATAAGTCATGGCCACTACAACTTCTCTGCTTCCCAAATCCTTCCCACCATTTCTCACCAACGCACCTTCATTCCCCTCAACCCTTTTCACCAAGCTCTCGTCTTTCAACCCACAGGACCACCCCCATTGCACAAAAAGGCCCAACCTTCAAACAAATGCCAAGAAGAAGAACCCCTGGCTCGACCCTTTTGATGATGGGGAGGACCCTGACATGGAGTACGGATCCCTCTTCGCGGACGGGAAGCAGGACGAGGACGATAGGCCACCCGAAAACCCCGATAATCCATACGGGTTCTTGAAGTTCCCAATGGGGTACAGTGTGGAAGTAGCATCACTGGCATTGAAAGTGAGGGGGGATGTTAGGAGGTGTTGCTGTGTGGTTTCTGGTGGTGTGTATGAGAATTTGCTGTATTTTCCCGTAATTCAGTTGCTTAAGGACCGGTATCCCGGCGTGCAAGTGGATGTGGTGGCTTCGGCCAGAGGGAAGCAAGCTTATGAGTTGAATAAGAATGTGAGATGGGCTGATGTGTATGATCCTGATGATCATTTTCCTGAGCCTGCTGAGTACACTGACATGGTTGGACTCCTTAAGGTTGGTTGGTACAAATATCTCTATTATTCTTCTTTAAAATCATTTGGGCAATTCGTTTATCTCTATGTTATGTAAAAGGATTAGGGCCCGTCTGGTAACGTTTTTGGAGAATATTTTCATAGAAATGATAACGAGAAAATGGATTTGCACTTTCAAGATTCAAGAATGCATCTGGTAAAATGTTGCAATTTCGATCATTCGTGGAGATGTTCTCTTTCAGTGTCTTCCTTACAAACTCGGTTTCTCATACAAGAAGGGTTTCGCTACTTGGATAGAAGATAATGTTTTTCCAAATGTGCATCCAAACGACTTCGAAAGTCGCGGAATGATTCCCGCTTCTTGAATCACAGAACAATAATGCAAAGAAATTTATCGACAAGAATGATCTTGACGGTTCTTTTCTGCAATGAGGCATGTGAGCAATTAAAGATTTAGGAAGGCAGCTTCGACGCTTCGTACTCAAGTAAACTGGAACTAAATTATTAAGTGCCTATTTGAGAATGCTCTTGGTTTTTGGCTATAAAGGATTCATCTTGTTAAACTTCATACTTAATGAGTTTCCTACTTTATTTAAATTTGTAACCGATTGCGTTAACTGTTACAGAGTAGGTACTACGACATGATCTTATCAACCAAGCTAGCAGGTCTCGGCCATGGAATATTTTTGTTCATGACAACAGCCAGAGAGAGGGTGAGCTACATTTATCCAAATGTAAACGCTGCAGGAGCTGGATTGTTTTTATCTGAAACATTTAGACCGAATGGTATGAATCTCGCTGAAGGCGGGTATAACATGTGAGTTTATAATAATACAACACAGATGATTTTGATACTTCCTATGAAAAATGAACACCTCCTTGGATGCAATAGTGAGAACTTTTATTTTGAAGCAGAAAATTGTTCTGCAGGGATAGCTGGAACAAGCATTGGTAAAATTATTATGCTGCGTTTTGATACTAATTTTGTATTTAGAAAATTTATAGACGTGATTGTCATTTCAGGTATCACCAGATGGTGGATTGGTTGGGGAGACCAGTGCGGGATGTGCCACGACAAGCTTTGCCCCCGCTTAAAATATCAATTTCAAAGAAGCTAAAGCAGACTGTAGAGTCAAAATACAAGAAAGCAGGTGTAGATAAAGGAAAGTATATTGTGATTCACGGGTTGGAGTCGGATTCAAAAGCCTCAATGCAGTCTAAGGGGGATAGTGATAGCTTGCTACCCATCGAAACTTGGGCTGCAATAGTCCGCGGTATAAGGTAATAAATTTATGGAATTTCCGTTCTGAAGGTTCTTCCAGAAACATACAACACAAACCTACACACACACACACACACACACAAAAGGAATATAAAAGTTTATATGCATTGACCCTACTGAATGAGAATGTTTAATTTATAGTTGGCCAGGAAGTTTTTGTAAGTATTGATCCAGAGCTGCATTTGTTGTTCTAATGCCGACAGGGAATTTAGGCCAGTTTTTGTCATTCCACATGAGAAAGAAAGGGAAAATGTGGAGGAAATAGTTGGAGAAGATACCAGCATTGTGTTCATAACAACCCCTGGGCAGGTAGGGATAAATTACTTCATCAATTTCCCACACTTTTTGCACGAAAACGAAACAGCTTGGAGAACTATACATATAAAACTTTCGAGTAAATATTATTGTAAAGAGATGGATGGGTTGGAAAACCATCTGCCATACAAACACTTTTCCGGTGCTTTACCTTACCAATGTCTCCTGCTGGAAAAATGAAACCACTTTTGTTTCGTGATCTCAATCCTCCTTCATTCAGAGCAATGGTTAAATTTTATCAAGGACTTTTGCGGCTTTGCCTACAAAATAGTCAATGAATGAAGCATGATCGACTTCTAATGGCTTTCCTTTTTATCTTCTTTAGCTTGCCGCTCTTATCAATGACTCGGCTGGTGTGATAACTACAAATACCGCAGCTATCCAACTTGCAAATGCACGCCAAAAACCCTGGTGAATGACATATGTGAATATTAGTTTTCTTGTGTTAGATAAGTACTTGTTTGAGCATATCCGTCTGTTCTCCATTTCATTTTTTTCGTGGGATCTATTTTTTCTCACCTTTGGATTTTGATTTTCAAATCAAGTTGATTCTAAACATATTGATACCCTTGAACTCATAATGTCATTGTTTTGCAGCATTGCATTATTTGGCTCTGCAGAGAAGGGGAAACTATTCGTTCCGAACGCAGAGGAGAAGAACTGTGTTATTGTTTCATCCAAGACAAAAAAGTTAAAGGACATTGACACTGAAGCTGTTAAAAATGCACTTCCAATTTTCAATGTGTCCCTAGCTCTAGTCTAAAAGGGGTTAAAGCTCACCCTGATTAGTGATTTAATTACTTTTGTTCTTGTTGTATTAATACCCTATCTTTACCCCAGTTTGTATAGCAGACCATTAAGCCAATGTTGATTAATAAAATCAGGATATATTTTTTCTGCTATCGACGTTCTGAGAGTTAACATATTCCCAAATCGTTTAAACGGGCAAGGGAATTCCATACACAAGTATGAATCCTACACCAAAATAGTTCAAGGACAATCCTACAATAAGGGTACATTAAGAGAGGACAAAACATCAGAACCAGTTCTTTTCCTGATGACAGGATCACATTGTTCGGTGAGCTTGAACTAAAAGGACTAGGGCCGGCATCCTGTTCCAGAACTCTGAGAACACATTTGATGTTTACACACCTCTGTAGCTTGCTGTCCGAGCAACAATGCTGGTTGCTATGAGACAATCGGCTGTTCTTGCTTCCATGAGTACGGGTATCTGGCGCTGAAGGTTTTCCATATCAGTTCCTCGCAAAAGTAGCATCCTGTTGAGTTTCACAAGTAACACATGTTCCAGCATCAGCAAGAACTGCAGCTCAAACAAGTGGATAATGCAGGTGCATCGTTCCAGCTCTTTTCGCAAGTGGGACTGCTTTCGTTAGGTTTCTAACGTCATTAGACGCTGGACGAAGGGTTTTATACTTTTCGCTACGTTCGAATAAAAATGAGCGAGAATTTCTTTTGAAAATTTCTTGAGGTCATTGATTTCAAGGTCATAAGATAACAGTAGAAGTTATTACGAGAGTGCGTAAAATTTACAGAGAACAGATCAAAGAAAAGTGATGCATCATCCCATCTTATCATATTGAAATCGTCCAAGATCATCGCAGTTGGCATGGTTAACAATGTAACGCAATACAAAATGCAGTAAGTATAGAACTCAACAATTTAGGTACCGGTAATGCCATTGAACTTGTTCGGGAAAAAATCAGGGATACAAGCACTTCTCCAAAAGAAAAGAAAAGAGAAGAGAGTACATTACGACGGAGACAGAAACCAAACTCAACAAAATCACTGTAATCTCAATTGAAGAATATTTGATGTTCGAATCTTGACAGATTCTGATTCTCTGGTCTAATTCAAACGTTGAATTATGAGGGCGGTTTTGCGCGAGTTGCAGGATCTTCCTTCGACTCCAAATATATCATTGCAACATAACCCAACGTCCACAACGAAATGTACTGAAATGGTACCCACGATACGCATGCAAAAAGACTTAAAATGCTTCCCACATACTGAGGATCTTTTACGTACCCAAATGGAAACTCTGTCACCCAGGGAATGTTCTTCCCAAAACGTACTCCATAATACGTACCAGATTCACCGAGCAACTGATAGACCCTACAAATAATCAAATGGAAATTCTGTCACCCACGATACGCATGCAAATAGTCACTTATATATTTCAAACAATCGATTTATCAAAGAGAAAAGCGAACAATCAAACTTGGCGGCTTAAAACCCCAACTGCAGAACTCTTGGTCTGACATAAATCACAGTTACATTGAATGGTTAAGAGAGTAAATTGATCACAAAGTTCTTTTAAACATTCAACGCTTCTGGTTCTTGTCACATACAACTGAAACGCAGGCTACAATTATATGAAGCACATTTTCATTGTACTTAAAATTCAATGGAAATATTAATACGTCCACCGTCGGGACTATCTTACAAGGCACTAGGTTTACTCAGTATGCTTCCCATTCTGCAGACTTCATCTATTTCAACTACTGGAGATAATTTTCAGTGTGATGACTGCACAATAATGCGTACAGCACCGGTTTGCTCCAATTTGCTCCAATTATTTGGTTGAAATGCAAAAGCATGTTGTTATCAACAGAATTTTCAGAACAAAAAGCTGAAATAGTTTATCAAGTGGTGGTAAAGGTTTGCAATGCCCTAATTATCTTTATAGTCAAGAATAATTTTGACAAGAAGAAACTCAGTGCTCTCTTCTCCTTATCTCCCTCTTTGCTCCATTGGGATAGGGAACATAAAAATTACCTTAAAGTTCTAACTAACAAGGATGTTAACACAAATTATTTGTGGTTCAATCAACCAGATGTTTACCGTGACGGAATACACCAAGGGAACATCAAAAGGAACTAGACATCAGGCTAGGGGCGATGAACTAAACACCAGTTCTAGCACATTAATTTTTCTAACAGATATTATTTTTGTCTCAATCCCACTCTTCCTTTTCCCATTACACCATGAAGTAAAATAATTTCACTCCTATGAATTATATGATTTCATACATTCGATGCATCTTTTTCCTCTGTCAGGATTTCTACGTATAAGCGCCTCGTTTCCCATTAACTAGGAAGACCCGTCTATAGATGCAGAATACGAAAGATGGGCTTGCAATGTGCCCCCGTAACATTTAAGTACAATTTGAAAAAGGATATTCATAGCAATGATGACAGATCTCACATCAGTGTATCTATAATCTATACTAGCATCACAAAATGCGAGCTGAACCACATTTCCTTTGGATTAAAATGCACCCTGTTCTCCACATCCGCCATGAAAAATATACGCGTCGCCAATACCCAAAAGAGATATTCAGTTTAAGAGCAGCCAAACTACCATAGCCTGCAGCTGTGCAGCATGACATATAACTATGACCAACATGAAAAATGAAAACCATTTTCCCTCAAGTCCAAGGACGGAGCTACCATGGGCCTAGGGGGGGCGGATGACCCCACTGAAGTTTTTCTGATGCTGGCATGCTGCTCAAACTGATCTGGTTCTGCAGCAGCAAAGCCCCCACTGAGATGTTTCTGGTTCCTGCGATCTGGTTCTGCAGAAGCAGAGCTTGGTCTTTGTTTTTCTTTTTTTTCAAAACCAGGCCAAAACGACGTTGTTTTGGTCCTGGTAAAAAAAAATTAAAAAAATGTAAACGAAACGACGTCGTTTCGCATATATTTGGGAAAAAAAAAAGTTATGTTATAGTGGGGGACCATTTGTCCCCACGGTCCCAGACTCCCATTCCTTCCATCTCTTTATTTCATTTTCATTAGCCTTTGCGGCTCCAATCAGAGAGCAGAGCAGCGTGGTGCTGCTCTTCCCCAACGCCAACAGCTTGAAACGGAACGGAAGTTACGGAACAGGAGCAAAGTTGCTCTTCCCCCAGCCACTCCAGCCGACATATATATATTTAGGTAAATTTTTTAATTCCTAAATCTATAATCCCTAACCTTAATTAATTATTTAAGATTAATTTTTGTTTAATTGGTATAGAAATATAGAATCATATGGATATGGTCATACACTAATATGGTTATTGACTTATTGATTATTGATTATTGATATGAATTCTATGATTATTGATTATTGATATGAATTCTATGATTATTGATGAATGAAATTATGAAATGGATATGGGTATACATTTATTCATATGATTAGTTGAATTAAATGTTTATTTGTTGAATAATTTGTATGCTTATTGGTATTGGTTAATTGAATTGTTGCCTTGGTTGGATCTTGGTTTGATTAGAATGCTATGTTAATCAAAATGTCCCATGTAGTATGTTATAGGGTTAAAGTTTTACATAAGTGTTAAAATGTCTGAGTTGCATATCTAACTTGTTTCTCATGTGTTTTCATCCTGAAGGTTAGAAAAGATGAGATTTTTATTGAGATTTTTATTCTAAGAATTTTATTGAGATTTTTATTCTATAAATTCTATAAATTACGTATGAACCTTATATGTTATTGGGGCATCAATTTGAATGACTTTGCAGACTGAAACATCAATCGGATGGAAGATCAATGGATGAATGACAACATGGTTATTTTTATAGAGAGAGATATTTGATGGTATTGGTAATGATGTTGTCATGCAACGCTTTCAGAACATGAAAACGCGTCGAGGGATATTGTAAGGGACTGTTGTATGAAAAACTTTATGGATTAATATACAAGTATTGTGTTTAGTAAATTCTTGAGCTTTTTAATTATGACTTTGTTGTTTGAGGATGCCCTACTCACACTAATCTCTGGCTCCGTCCCTGCTCAAGTCCATCAGTTGTAGAACATGAACGAATTAAGCATGATTAGAAAGAATTTCTCAATCCTACTTAGTGACGTACAGATTCAGGACATGTAAATCAATTGACTAATCAAACAATTAAAAGCTCACCACACCGACTACCTAATCAATGAACCCAAATTCCATAACATAAAGACACATCCAAATAAAACTGAAAACTGGGAAATACCCACGTCTCAAAACAACAAATAAAACATCTATAAAAAGGACTAACCTGAAGTTGAGGAACTGGCCAAAGGCAATGAGGGGCCAGAAGTAAAGAGGGGGAGGCCAAGAGAAGGTAGAGACCGAGAAAAGAGAAAGGAACTGAATCAGCTTCAGGAAATGAGACACATAGGCCATCACTTTGCATGGGTCACGCCCCTTCCCACACAGCTCTACCCATGTTTGTGGGTAACTCCATAGCCAATAGTAGAATGGGAAGGGTGAAAGCACTCCTATTGCTGCCGCTATCCCCATTTTTCTTTGTTCTCCTTCTCACCTAATTTTCTCTCACTTTCTGGAAAACGATTCCTTTCATGGGTGGCTCCGGCTGGCTCATCGAATCTGAGCTCTTGTGTGCTTGTATTGGTTATATGAGGTCGGTGGCAGGCCCATGTTAACAGCCCGATCCTTAGCAGGCTTTGACGTATCGCATCTTCAAAAGCACATAAAAGGATTTTTTTTTTTTTATATATATTTTATACAAGCGATATTGGAGGAAGGGGATATGAAGTTTTGAACCTCAATGTTACAACCAAGCAGAGATGTAAAGAGGAGATGCATGACATAGGGACTTTGGGAATTTTAGTTTTAAGTTAAACTGTTTAACTTGTGATCAAGGCTCATTGGGTGATGAAACTCGAAACTAACTTAAGGCCCAATTCAAACTTATCCGTTTGATTAGTTAACTTTTAATTTAATCCTAGCCATAATTCATAAACAATTCAATTTTTTTAATTATTTCTACTTAATTTCATGGTATTCTTCAATCTGTACGATACACGGTATGCGATCTATTAGTTCTGATTAACGAAGCAGTGTGTAATTATAACTCTTACTAATCGATTGTGAATTGAAACTACTTTCAATTCTCCTTTTAGTAAAGATTAGTAATTGCTAATCTTCAGGGCTTTCACAAAGCCATGAGTGATATCTAATAGTATGTTATGGTTACCCAAGCTAAGCAAAAGAAGTGGAGAACATAGTCAGTTGGAATTACAATGCAATAAGGTCCTTCTCTATATCAATATTCTTGATCATATTGTTAGGTTGACAGTTTAATCATGTCTACTACTTGTTGTAATTATCTTATCTATATCATTATCGTGAATGTGATTTGGAACATACTTCCTAAATCATGTTCATGTGTTATGACAAGAGACTCGTGAATCATATCATAGAGCATTTTTCTTCAACGGTTGAAGGTTAGTCTCACATGCCTATGTGAATAATCAATGATCCCAACAATGCACGTACCCAACATATGAGGTGTATCAAGAGGCGGATCCACATAGGGATCCACGTGGAATCATTTACTCTATCAAATCTAAAAGGATTAATCCCACTTAGTTGACATTTTTTATTTATAATAACCTAAAATTAATAGAGAAAAATTTAGAAAGGGCTCTTCTTCTTTTTTTGTTCAAAAAGCTTTACTCTCATTGTTGGATATAGGAAACTTTCAACCCCTTGTAAATAAAGACTTAGTAGAGGCTGTCTTGCATTATAAACATGCAAACTTCAAGTCCCAACCCTAACCCCAAACCCCACCACTTGTTGTTGTGCCGTCACCACTCAGGCTATCGCCTTTAGCCGCTCAATTCAATTTTTCGTCTACATTTGTTTTTTGAGGACCCCAAAATTTGAATCTTGAATCCGTCACTAGTGTGTCTAACATGCTAGCGCCATAGAGCTATCTCCATTGCCGAGTGAGATTCTGGAGGTGGTGTCTCATCCATCCTTAAGAGCAGTTCCAGCGTGGGAACCCCCCTAGGCAATACACTATGTTATCCACCCAATGAACAGTAACTACCCTTAATGAACAGTAACCGTATTTTGCATCTCCACCGTTGCACTTCAATAGTCCTGGCAATAGACAATAAAATATTAGTAATTTTTTTATTTATAAAATAATACAAAATAATTTTATTTGTAATTTCGGATAAGATTTTTAATTGTTCTCATTACGTCACGTGTCATTATCCGAAAAGTTGTAAAATAATACAAAATAATTTTATTTGTAATTTCGGATAAGATTTTTAATCGTTCTCGTTGTGCCACGTGTCATAATATGAAAAAGACAATTATTGGTGATGGATTTCCGATAAGGTAGATGATAATGAGAAGGTATTAATAGAAAAGTAAAAACAAATTTTTTAAAAATTTTTAAAATTTTTTTTTGGATTTTTTACAATTTTTTTTAATTTTTTATTCAACTAATTAATCTCTGCCATTGGATTTAAAAAAAATGAATTCCAATACTCCAGATTGTGCCATGTGGCACAACGGGAACTTTTCTTAATTTTAAAACTTTTTTTATTTATAAAGGAGAATAATATCAACCAGTTGATCTCAGATCCAACGGTTGATATTAAATAAGATTTTTTTATTTTTTTTACCGTTGCAAATCGAACAGTCCACATTATATAGCCGTTAAGATCCAACGGACCATGGGAAGCCACGTGGCTTCCCAAATGTAACTTTTTGAAACGGTGCCATGGGCCCCAGGGGCTAAAACTGTGTCGGGTGACGCGCCTCCACTCACGGGTAAGGTGCAAGCGCTTGACAGAAAAAAATAAAAAATTAAACTGACGCCTGGATGACGTCAGCCCTACGTTAGATCCACTTCAAACTACGGGCTGACAATTCCTCACAGGTCTGATACTCGGACCTCCACTGTCCCTCGGGCTTCCCACGCTGAAGTGTGTAGGCCGGACTTTCGGGCCATTTTTCCTAACCTGTCCCGCGAGCAAACTCCCACGCTGGAGTTGCTCTAATACATCCGTGCCCGGGCTTGAAATCTCGCAAGTGCTTTAAAGGCATTTCGTCAATCGAGGTCAGTTCATGTGTCGTCCCCCTCATGGGCGTTGATTTTTTGTTACCACAATGGGAACTGACATATCGAACCTGCCCCATCTTGTTGCCTTCTACTTTTTTTTGGCCTCTCCATCCCTACAACATATTATAATTGCATAACTTCTTTGTATTTTTGCTCTTCGATATATGTTATAAGACAACTATTTTCTTGGTTATTGGGTGACTAAATAATGCATGATCATTTATTTTTAAATTTAATAGTAAGCATGGAGAATAAATAAATGTGTTTTAAGAGCGTTTGATTGTTTAGACCAATCCAATCCTAGACAAAACATGAAGTTAATTAAAAAAACTAGATGTATTAGCATTAGACCTTCATTTACATGTTACATTTTAAGCCATTTAAAATGTGAGCCTTAAATAAGATCATGCCAAGTTTATTCAAATTAGTCCTACAATTAGTCCAAGCCAAATCTATCCGCTGCAACAAACACCCGTGTTTTAATTTCAACCTTTATTATTAATTTCAAAGATACAAGACCATGAATTATTGATAAACATACTGACTTTTAGTCGGAAGAAACTCTTGTTATAAGTGCATAATTGCAACAAACATACATAACACAACAAATAAATATATTTCTTTTCAGCATAAAAAACCAAATAAAAATATGAGATGAATCAGTTTCATTTTCATTTTCTAAAATATGAGATAATTACAAAATCCATAACTTATGGAGGCATGGTGCCTCAAAGAAAATACAGGTAGTTCTATCCACACACTCATTTTTAACTCTCATACGTCTCTCGTTAATTTATGTTATTTGATTATCTTCAATTCTTTCTATTCTACAAAATTATGAAAGATTTGTGAGGGGTAAAAGGATATATCCCATCTCCCATCAAAATGTCACCATGATATCTCCCTCCTCCCATATGGATCTGGTGGACAGGTCCCACGAACCACCACCATCCATGTTCTGTATGCTCACTCACTGCCACTATATGCTAAGCATACAAAAGCAAACTGTGTGCAGTAGACGACATGACCACAATAGCAACATTGCACCAACCGTAGGCCATAACTTCATTTCTTTCTTCTTCTTCCCTTTCCATATCATGAAAAGAACACGGTGCATGTCCTCTCTATGCGCGTGTGAACTGCCCATAATTTGAAGGCTTCTAGAGTTGCTATTTATTATGCCTTTAAAGTGAGGCCGTCCCTTAGATGTGACACCCACCCTAAAGATTAAGGTCATGCACATGTACACTCCACGCATGACTCGGTAGGTTGTGTATTGCCAACCGCATGTAGCCTCTTTCACAAGCAATTTAATTAGAAATTAAATTTCTAATACATGAGCACAAATTTGTGTATGCAGTCACACAACTATGTAATGTGATTGTTGGGCATTAGAATCTATCGACTTGTAAGCTCTTATTGGAAAATACACGAAAACAAGTTTTTTTTCTTTTTCATTTCATCCAAATCATCAAAATTCTAAAAATAAAATAAAAATGATTCTCTTTTTTAAGGAGCGCATGAACTTGAAACATATATACACGAGTCACTAAAGGGATACATGAATCAACACAAATTCATAAACCATCTAATTCAGGAAATTTGATTTACTTCTATCAATGCCAACCTTAAAGATGAAGTTTTTCCTCGTAACAAAACAAGAATTGTTTCTTTTGGAATGTTATTCAATTCAAATCTTAAAAATAGATAACTCATGAATGATTTAGCTAAATCGTACTCGGAGAATCATTTAGACTTGCCGGTTTTGGATGTGCCTCCTAAATACTTACGTTTGATTATTCAAAATGTTATATTAAGAGCAACTCTATCCCTAAAAACTCCACTAGTCAAGAGTCAATTCAATCCATCAAAATGAATCGTAATTGATTGCAAAGAATAGTAACTACCAAAGTGCACATTTATCCCTAAATTGAATTGCCTAGTCCATTCGTACTAAAATATTATTAATTTTTTTTATAAAATAATAAAAAAATATTTTCAATTTCGAATGGAATTTTTAATCAATCTTATCACGACACATGTCATTATCCAGAAGTAGAATTTTTGTGGATAGATTTTTAGGTATTTATAGAAAATAATAATAATTTTTCATTTTATTTTTTCCTGTATTTTTAAACAATTTTTTTTTTATAATTTTTGATAAATTTGTATTAAGTTGCTTAATCTAGACCGTTGGATTTTAAAAAGATTGAAATCCAAGTGCCCAAAATTGGACACATGGCCAACGATAAGATTTATGACATTTTTATTTTTATTTTTTGGTCGAAAAACCTGAACCGTTGATCTGGAAATTAAACGGTCTAAATTTTGCCACATCACAAGCAGTTGGATTTGAATTCAAAATTTTTTGACCTTTGGAAATCCAATGGTCCAGAAAACTAGTAATTGGAAATCCAACGGCCATCATCACACCACATTGCGTCTATCCCGAAGGCCCTTGGTGCACTTGCCAACACAAGCGCCCCTCTGCAAGTTGTCGGATAACGCGCGCCCACTTTAGCGTGATTCCCACGCGCCTGACACAAAAAAAAAAAAAATGCATGTGGCTGACGTTAGACATCAACTCAGCTGGGTAATGGGTCAGTCGATTTTCAGTTGGGTGACTTGCTAGACTCCCCTGGAGCCTAGTGGATAAGTTGGGGTGGAATGGGTTTTTGGAGGAGGGGAATGGAGGAAAGGGAATAAATGAGCTATTGCCTAGTTAATTAAAGAAGAGGTGGACTTGCTCTAAACAATATTTATCTGAATTCGAGACATGGTAAATTTAAAGAAGAAAAAAAAAAAAACTCTAATTAGTTGGGACTCACTCATTTCATGATCGAACGCATTTACGTAGCCTAATTAGGTAAAAGTTGGTACTTATTCTTTGGTCATACTGACACAAAAGTGATTAATACGTTCTCAAGAAAAATTACGACGAGAGCTGAATATTCTAATTTCACAAATGGGAATGATTGAAAAAACAGGAATCTGACTTGTCAGTGCCATGTGTACACAGAGTGATGAAGACCAAACATGTGAGGTGTGAACCTGCACAGTCAAATAATCCAATAAAAAAAAGTGATATACGCGTTCCTGGCCCACCAATCATGGCCTGTCTGTAGGACTACTCCAAATTAAAGAAACATTCCCACCAATACCGGCTATTCACTAGCTACAAAGGATTTTTATTTTTAATGTTAATATATTAAGGAAAAAAAGAGGATTCAAAATGATTATATAATTTAGATGAAGGAGAGTTTTGAGTCCAGATCGTATAAATAGAAACTCAACTTTCTATACATTAGGATATTAGACAATATGTAATAAATGATTTATTTATATGAGTAATGCTAGTTAAATCAACTTTTTAAGAGAAATGCTAAGGAACTCATTCAAAACTGAGACTCTCATTGGACTCTCCACCATCTTATATTTTTGGCACAATGATTTATAACGATGTCACAAGAATTGACGTTAACTTTGAGGTGACAAAGAGTTTATGGATAGTCTCACTTTTGAGAGAGTCACCTTAGCATTTCTCACTTTTTAGACCAAATTTGTAAATTATGTGATGTGTCATCAATAAGAAATAAGCATGTTAATCAACAATTAAGTAATAATTCAATAATTAATAATCATGTCATATGTTTTATAAAATATGGTTTAAATAGATGGTCTTCCTCATATTACTCCATTCCATATATAATCATTCAATTTTTAAACAAACTATATTAGGTTTAGATCCTTTTATTATTATTTCAATGTAAAGAACAAAATTATTGCCCACACATCATTATACCAAATTACTACCTTTAGAAGATGGGAAATGATTAGTGCATATCCTTTAGAAAATGACAGTCCCATAATTTTTTTCTTTTTTACACACATCAAATCAAATAAAACAAATAAAAATGTAGAACATAACTAAACAAAAATGTAAGGAAAAAAAAAAAAATAGTGTGCGGTTATCATTTTTCCTAACTACTTACTACTTCTGTACACTCTTATTTGTTTTTATCACTTAATTGACTACAAGAGAAATGCTAAAAAGACTATCTTAAAATATGACTCTTTATTGACTCTTCGACACCTCATATTTTTAGTACAACGTTACAAATCAACAAAAGCATGTGCAAATTATAAAATAATGATATACATGTGTTGGGGAGTGCATTCATGGACCGTTGGGATCAACAAAATTCGTAATTACAACTATTGGCACTTTTGGGCTGGCTTTGGGAGTATTTTATGCTGCAATAACAAGGTATTCACCGTATGTTGCACACTGTTTGAGTTTTTGATACAAAAACAGTTAAGATGAACAGTGAGAGATGCCTTCAAAATTGTAGAGAAAATGAGATCCAAATTTTGATGTTCAAGCGTTTGTTGGAGATGATGTTAGGTCGTAACCCTCTCTTTAGAGCATTTACAGTGGAGATACGCGAATTTAAGATGTAAAAATCATATTTACATCTCATTTTGCATCTACAGAAAATTTGAACGTGAATTTTACTTTTGTGGAAAGAGGAGATGCAAAACTTAGGATCACATTTAATTTTCTCTACTTACGGAGTCCAGTTCTAATTTAGAATCCATTTACATTTTTATTAACATTTTTTTGACAAAGATAGATATTTTACATCATTTATTTGGAGAAATTTTGGGTCAACAAAAAAATATCGAATGCTGATTTCAAGGTATTTTGCATCTTATACTGGAGAAGCTGTTATATGTCGAACTTTTGTGTTTGCAATTCACTTTGTGCTACCTTTTTACATTACAAATAAATTGCAATAATGGTGAAAAGGTGGGTTTCTATTTAGTTTTTTTATTTTTTTATTTTTATTTTAAGATACAACTGATGACAGATTACGATTATTCACTTCTTTTGAAGCTGAAATTTCTATTTAGATTAAATAGTAAAAAAAACAAAAATAAGTAGAAACCCATCTTAAAATTCTAAAAATTCACCGGTTAACTGGAGCCCATCTTTCCCTCCAATTTTTTCTTTTGTGTTTGTTTTGTTATCTGAAATTCTGCAAGATACATACGACTTTCTCTGCAAAGCATTTATCTTTAGTCAAAAGCACCTCCACCTTGGGACCCTGCCTTCCACACCACTCCCAGTCGCACTCCATTTTTCTAATCCAAATTCTCAATCACAACAACATAAAAAAAATGAAAAAATCCACAATCAAAAACACAATTATCATAAAAAAACAACAGTGATTAGCAACAATCTCCATAGATTTTCCAACTGTAAAGCAAACCCGCATACATTGGATGCTGCTCAAACACAAAGAACAAAGAAAAAAAGCAAAAGAAATTGCAGCAATGCATATCATGAGCATCCCCATGTCTCTCAATCTTCTTGTTCATCACTTTTGAAGCCAAACCCACAAACCCTAAAGACCCAGAAGAAGCAAACAACCACCACCATGCCTTCAAGACACTTACCTGCGACGACTCTGAGGCCACCCAGTTTCTTGACAAAAACCAGGATCTTATTTTTGGCCCTCACAATCTCAGCCACTTTGGTGATAATCTCATCCATCATCTATTTTCTCTACCATTTTTGGCACTCGCTTGTCAACAGAAACAAGACAATCCCATTTGACTCCAGTGATCCTCTCAAGCTTGAGAGATTCCAATACAAAGAGCTCAAGAATGCAACGAGTGACTTCGATGCTGCTAACGTTATCGGGAAAGGAGGCTCCGGCACCGTCTTCAGAGGCATTCTCAAGTGTGGTAAGTTGATTGCTGTCAAGAGATTGGATGCTTTGAATCTGCAGTCCGAGAGGGAGTTTCAGAACGAGTTGCAGATTCTTGGTGGGTTGAGATCGCCATTTTTGGTGACCCTTTTGGGTTATTGTGTGGAAAAGAATAACAGGATTCTGGTTTATGAGTATATGCCCAATAGGAGTCTCCAGGAATCACTTTTTGGAGAAGGGCTTTTGAGTTTGGGTTGGGAGAGGAGGTTCGAGATTGTTTTAGATGTTGCCAGGGCGCTTGAGTTCTTGCATTTGGGATGTGATCCTCCTGTTATTCATGGTGATATTAAGCCGAGTAACATTTTGCTTGATTTCGATTATCGGGCAAAGATTTCGGATTTTGGGTTGTCAAGGATTAAGGTGGAGGGTGAGTTTGGGGTTGATATGTTCAGCCAGGACTTGGGTAAGAGTCAGGAGCTGTGGAAGAGTCAGGATCTGTCTGGGAACTTGGCGGCGGAAACTCCAGCAATCGGTACCCCCGTGGAGAGTGCTAGCGAGGTAGATTTTGCTCTTGCTTTGCAAGCTTCTTCTTCGTCGAAAAATAGTAAAAAAAGTCGTAATGTTAAGGCCTTGAACTTGAATTCTGTGAATTATAATGCCAACATTGCTTGTGAGAGTGATGTTAAGAGTAGTCATGCTAAGGGGAAAGAGGTTTCGAGTGTAGATTTTGGTGGGGATGATTGGAATAATAGGTTTGTGCCTTACGATGACGAGCTTAGTAGCATTGATCACAGTAAGGAGTTGAATATTATTGCCTGCAATGGTGTCGATGATGCAGAGGATACGAAACAGTGGGGGAAGGATTGGTGGTGGAAGCAGGATGGAAGTGGTGAATTGTGCAGTAAAGATTATGTTACAGAGTGGATAGGGAGTCAGATTTGCCCGTCTTCGAATCCTGACTGGGATGATGAAAAGAAGAGCATTCCCGAGAAGAGTGACTTGGATGTGTCGACTCCGGTGGATAAATCAGAAAATGCAGATGAGCCCCGTTTGCAAGAATTTATGCTCGAAAACCTCAATAAGGGGTTTGAGAAAAGAGAATCCAAGGGCAGGAAAAATCGTAAAAGGAAACCGAGGAAGATGCAAGAGTGGTGGAAAGAAGAGCACCTTGCTGAGATTAGCAAGAAGGGTAGTAAGCTAAAAAATCTTGAAACAAAGTGGAAGAAGGGCTTCAAAATGCCGCGTTTTGATCTTGGAAAATGGCTTTACCTTCACAGACGAAAGAATTTCAGGGAGCAGAGTCAAGATGGATGTGATCAAAATGGGGAGTTCAGTTTTAGGAGGGGATGGAAGAAAAAGAATGCACATTCCGTTGGCAGTGACGTCCACAGTGGCGATATATTTAGTCGTGAACTCAGCAGCACAACAAGCATGAGAGGAACTTTGTGCTATGTTGCACCAGAGTATGGTGGCTGTGGATACTTGATGGAGAAGGCTGACATTTACAGTCTTGGAGTTCTAATCCTCGTGGTTGTGTCCGGTAGAAGACCCTTACATGTTCTTGCATCGCCCATGAAGCTCGAAAAGGCGAATTTAATAAGCTGGTGTCGACAGTTGGCGCAAGCAGGAAACATACTTGAGCTTGTAGATGAGAGATTGAAAGACGAGTACAATAAGGACCAGGCAAATTTGTGCATAAATTTGGCTCTCTCTTGCTTACAGAAGATGCCAGAGTTGCGTCCGGAAATTGGGGAGATTGTTAAGATCTTGAGAGGGGATATGGATCTCCCACCACTTCCGTTCGAGTTCTCTCCCTCCCCGCCTTCAAAGTTATACAGCAGGTCAAGGAGAAAACGTACCGCCTCTGCAGATTAGGCACTGCAACACATTCTTCATTTTACTTCTCCTTGATCATTCCTCGCCGGGGTTATGGTGATTGTAATATATAAGAGATGATCCGAAATCGTTGGTGAAGTCTGAAAGATGTGTAGCATGAGGATCATATTGTTGTATGTACACTAGGTAGATGCTTCTGTTTTCTTTTTTCCATTAAATGGGTTCATGTTCAAGTACACCTGACTTCCCTTTCTTGTTTCATGTAAACCAGAATTTTCAACCATAATAAACCAAAAGACTCCTTGAATTTACGGATTTTATAGGCCCTCAGTTTTATCCATGGACTTGTCAGGCATGCATGGTTTTTCTGGTTCTGCCTTCATACAATTGTAGGGACTTTTCCCACAAATTGTACGTTCTTTATAAAATTTGGGGCTGACTAATTCATTTTCCGTCGTTAATTTGGACAAAATTTGACTGTCGGTTTTCATTTTTTCCTTCGATGCACATTGAATCTAGTGAACCACTCAATCCAATCAAATACAGGAAACGAGACTTGAAGGATCGTTCTCATGTGTTACGTATTAAAAAAGGGCTTTTTCCACCACATATAAAAATAAAAAAAACCCTGGTCAGATAAACTTTGACAAACATAGAAAGTGATTGATTGTTTAAGAGAAATGCTAATGGGATTTTCTCAAAATTTGATTTTTTATGAACGCTCTGTCACTTTACAGTTTAACGTTAATTTTCATATCAACATTATAAGATATTGTGCTACAAATATAAAACGACAAAAGATCATTGAAAGTCTTATTTTTCAGAGAAACCCTCATCGCTCAAATTCGGTTGGAGCTAATTTTTGTAAGCCATGAAGCACTCGAGTCGTAGTCATGGGCCAAAGCTGTTTGAGTACTACTAAAGTGTGAATGATTAACCCACGAGAGGCTTGACGCTACTCACTCAAAACAAAAGGATGTGCATAAAGTCATAGAAATATTTTTCCACTTAATTTTTTCTGCTGAATTATCATTGTTATTCTGCTTTCCTAGAAAGAAGAGAGGAAAAAAAGGACGTTGCTCCGTGTCTGGGGCCTTTGCAAGCTAAAAATAGATGTGAACTTAGGGGGACACCTCTTGGAAGCAATATTTGCATTCTTTAAAGTAATGATTTTCACTCCTAGAAAGAAGAAAAATTATTGCTATAATTGGGGTCCCTCAACTCATTAAAACGCGTGGCTATGGTCATTTTTTTCCACTTCGTCAGAATTTTGTTAAAATGAGTTATGTTGGAAGAATCGTTACTCCAATTGGATTAAAGCTGAAGGATCATTTCTCTAGTTGAGTTAAAGCAACGAGATCATTTCTCCAGTTGAATTAAAGTTGAATGACCAAGGGTAATGAATTTTTAGTTGAGGGACCATAAATTGCACGTTTTGATAAGTTGAGGGACCAATAGTAATGAATTTTTAATTACAAGACCATTACTCAAATTGAGTTAAAATTAAAGAACTATTGTTACAATTTACTCTTAAGTTTTTTTCCCTTCTGAAATCTTTTACCATAATCATTTTTTTTTCCTGCCATCAGTTGAAAGCATCATTTTCGTGGGACTATTGCTGGATGGCAATGTGGTATACTTTTTCGGGAAAACGGTAGCGTTTTATTGATGATTAAATAGTACTATTTTCAAATAAAGCATATTTAGTAAACTTTATGAATATGGTGTAGTTCACTTTAAATTTATTCTTGGATTCTTTTTGCCTGGTCAGATATTAGAAGTTAATCATGTCACAGCAATTCTAAACGTTAGAATTTTAAACCATGAGTTTTTGCCTTGGATGTTATGACGTTTTCAGTCCTAATGACATTTTTCTGTTGTTGCAAGACATTTTATACTAATTTTTTTAGAGGAGGGAGAAGTTTCGAGCCTGAAACGCATGAGTAGAAACTCAACATTTTATTTACTAGGATATTAGATCACATGCAAGACATTTCATACTATTTACTTTTCATCTTATTGCAGCAATATCAGAAGATATTTTTCAAGTATATGAGAAAGGTGACATCCGTCCTCATCAAATCAATGATGTACCAGAATATCGGGCTACATGAAACTGGGTATAACTCGATTTCACTCAATTGTCATCCACTTGAATGGAGAAAGAAGTCACAATCTTCTTCTGCAATCCAACATTACTCAAAATACATATTATATATTTTTTATCGAAAGATATACATATTTAAGAGGTCGTTTGATAACCATTTCGTATTTAGTTTTTCGTTTTCATTTTTCATTTAAAAAAATTGATTTAGTAACTACTTGTAAAGCCAAATTTAAAAAACTAAAAAAAAAAAAAAGTAAATTTCAGTTTTTTTTTTCTTTCTTTAAGTGAAAAAAAAAACTGAAAACTGAAAATGAGATAGTTATCAAATGGCTTACCGTTGCTAATTTTTTCTATATGCATGATGAAATATGTTAAAGATCAAGAGTAAGCGAAACACGGGCCAAGTACATATAAATCATGCCAAACGGATGATGATCACCGAGTACTAGAAGCTGGTGAGACTGGACTTCTTGATGATCGTCAAGCCAACGAAATTGTGAACCCTACGGAAGTCCAAGCTACATGTATGCTCAAATTCTGTCTAGCCTTAAAGATCAGGCTTAACACACGTCAAGTCAATCTTACCTGTAGGCTGTAACTAGTGCGACATGCCACTACTAGTACTGGAATGAATCAATGAATACATATTACTACGTTGATCCGTTGTCGACTATCTTACTTTTAATCAAGCTACTGAGATGAGTTTGAAATCGAATTTCTGTTGCATCATCGTGTTCTTCTGATCCGTTAGGCTCTGTACTTACGGGCCTGGCTTTTATCGATCTACTGTTAAATGTGTTGAGTCAATTATATCAGCTTGATCACAGGTATCTAAGTTTCTACTGCTGCTCTTCTTTTTTCTCTATCCGTTTATTGTTTATTGATCACAGCAATGCTTTATGGCATGGAATGTTAGGCGGTGAAGCATCAACACGTAGACAAAATAAGTGTAGTGGAGATGAGAATGCTTCGTTGGATGTGGTGCACAAGAAAAGACAAGATTAGGAACGAGAATATCCAAGGTAAATTAGGGGTAGCCGAAATTGAAGATAAGATGAGAGAAAATCGGTTAAGATGGTTTGGACATGTGAAATGAATACCTACGGACGCTCCAGTTAGAAGATGTGATTACAAGACAGAGGTTCAGGGCCAAAGGGTAAAGGAAGACCTAGGAAGACTTGGAAAGAGACTCTAAGAAAAGACTTGGACGACTTGGATCTAACGGAAGACATGACACAAAACCGATTGCAATTGCGTTCTAGAATTCATATAGCCGATCCCACTGAGTGGGATAAGGCTTTGGAGTTGTTGATTGTTCTTTTTTCGGTCAGCTAAATTCCTCATTCTCAAGAGTTCTTCGATTTCGCTATTTTGCTGTAAAAATCTTATTGCTATAGCAGCATGCAACATGACACGTTACAGAAATTCGTCCCAGACGGGTGATTTAGCTCAGTGTAAGTTTTGCAGTCGTGGTTAGATTGCATGAATTATATTTCCGACAATACTCTAGATTGTCAATAAGTTATAAACTGAATTATTTGATCAAGAAAAAACACATAGTTGCTCATTCGCGTCATTTTCTTCAACACTGGTTCATTTAATCAATATCATAACTAGAATACAGTAGCAACAATCTTATAAACTTTTGATCACTCTGAGACTGAGTGATGTGAATCTCATAAGTTTTTTATCACTCTGAGTGATTGTGCTACCTCCGTCATGATCGGCCTCTCGTCCGGATTTGCTTTGAGACACCTCCCTATGAGCTTGGCACATTCCACTACTTGCTTCTTGTTTTCTTCTTCCAATACCTTGGCCTCTAAATAGGTTTTGCAAAGATTTGCTAACATCGTAAACTGGTGATCGTTATATGAGCTTGAAGCGGCGTTGTTATCGTTCTCCATATACCAATCTAGTAAACCACCCCATCTCTTTCCTGCAAAGATCTCACATAATAGAACTCCAAAGCTGTGGACATCGCTCTTTTCTGAAGTACGTCCGGATATAGCATATTCAGGAGGCAGGCACCCTTGAGTTCCGGTAATCACTTCAACATCTACATGAGTTTTACCAAAAGGAATTGGTACTGAGGTTCGGAACTCGGACAGCTTGGCGACATAGTCTTGGTCTAAGAAGATATGTCCCGTCTTTATATCTCGATGGATGATCATCTTCGGCATGCCGTAGTGGAGATAAGCAACTGCACCTGCTACTTCAATTGCAATCTTTAACCTGATCGGCCACGCTAGCGATTCACCATCTCCATAGATGTGGTGGGAGAGATTACCTTTTGTTGGGAATTCATAAATTAGTGTAGGCAGCTCGGTCTCAAGGCAGCAACCCAACAGCTTCAAAACGTTCTTGTGCTTGCTCATGTTCGAGGCAATTGCTACTTCATTCGCAATCAATTCCAGAGGATCCATGTAACTACTCGAGTCTGCTTCGAACTTCTTAACCAAAATCTGGCGTTCTTCGTGGACTCCTTTGTAAAGTCGAGAATTCCAATCCCTATGTATCATTCCATCCCAGCCGTAGTCATTCGTTGCCTTGTTGAGGTCTCGTTCGGAGTGCATCCGAATCGGATTACAACTCCCATCGAAAGAATGTATGAGCTGTTCCAACATAGCAGCTCCATTCTTCAAGAAGCAGCCCTTCTTTTCCCTGTTGTATTTGTTGTTTCTGAATCTTGATAGCATATTGGAAGATATGCTTTTCAGTTGCCGAAGTCACAACTTTATTTGGGGCTTAACGCGCAAAACATCGATAGTGTGATTAAATTTCTTCACGACTATCGTTTACTTTGAAAAAAATCTTGAAGACTTTGAAAATGGACTGGCCCTCGAGAAGTCTTCAAGTAAAAAATTGAAGACAATTAAAAATTAAATTAAATTGGGTAATAATCTACTTTAAATTACAGGGAGGGGAGGGGAACCGAACTTGGTGAGAAGAGCACACTCCTCTAACCAACTTGACTGCGTTTAGCCCCAAGTTGGCTGACTTTCTGAACGGGGCCAAAAGACTGGAGCTAAACCTAACGGAAACCAATATGCAATCACTCTTCAGAAACCACAAAAAAAGAGCAAAAAGGATACTTTCTGCGGAATGGAGCTGCGAGGTTGAAGCCACTCATACATTCTTTTGATGGAAATTGTGATCCAATTCAAATGGACTGATCATCAAATTCATATGAGCAGAAGGCTCGGTTTTCCTACACCTCATGTCGAAGTAGATGCAGCTCGCTCAAGAACTGCTGACATCAATAGCAACTGAAAATGGAAAACAGTTGATGGGGTTATAGCTAGCCTACTCTTGGAAGGCAAATGAATGTAGTCACCGACTCCCTGCCAAGTCTATGGTTTTAACAGTGACGGCCTACGCTGCTATAAAACTAGTGTGAATGCCTCGATGTATGCCAGCCTAGAAATAGCTCAAACGATCAAAACTATAAACAACCGGAGTTGAAAATAGTCGAAGGGCTCTCGAAATCTAGTCATTTGAAAAATAAAAGTTCAGGTAATACATTTGAGAGGAGAAGGAAAAACCTCAAAACACTTCAGCCTAAATCACATAACGTCAAAGTCTGATGAGAATACATTAAGAGAGAAAAGAAATAAACAAATTCTTAAGAACTCGGAACAAATAAATTGTACACTTCCCTGAGTTATACCACAAGCACTACACCCATCCAAATCCCAAGCACAGCATTGCCAAGGAAACCACCAAGGCCCGAAATCCCTGTTGAGGAACCACCAGGACAGCAGCATCTGATGAAGAGTTATGAGCACTGACGGGGGCCGTTGGGGGGGAAGGCAGAGGATGGACAAGGACAGAGACCTTCATGCCACTGTAGCACTGGCCATTGCCACAAATGAAGTAATACCTCTTCGCCTGATTGAGGGGGATGAAGTCTTTGCCACTGCTCCAGTTCCCAACTGCACCATCCAAGGTGCAGTTGTCATACCCTGTTTGGTTCACTTCAAACACATTGTACTGGTTCTTTTGGTACCTAAACGCTGCAATTTAACAAACACTCCACTTTGAGAACAAATAGAAAAACATGGATAAATAAGAAAAAACTTGCACAAAAGATAAATTGATTGATTTGGCCCAAAAGATTTAATTTGGTAGTCACAAAATGCGTCTGCACAAATAGGGGTGGAATATTTTACCAAATACCGTACCATACTCATGTTGTACCAATTGGTGATGATAATGGTAAACAAAACCATTAGATATACTGAAAGTTTGGCATGGTAATGATAATAAATTTTGACACACCAAAAATTTAATATGGTAATTGGTACAAAGGTTTTGATATGGTAACCATACCGAACCCAACCCCATGCACAAATAGAAATTTTTCAAAGAACAAGACTGATGGTCCTTGAGCTATGAAATTTGTGAAAGAAAACTTTCTCAAATAGAAAATTAAGATAAACTTCAGGGTATGTTTGGGTGAGGAACTTCCAAATTCTAAGGGATTTAAGCATATTTGTAATGCTCATGTGGTGCATTTTCTAATTCCTCGTATGTAATTTTTTGTGATCCATTTCTTCTTCATTTTACCTAATGGCGTTATAATTTGAAAGTCCCTCACCCGAACATACCTTAAAGATTTTCAAAATGTATGTGCTAGTTTCAATTCTAGTGTACAATAATATGGCATTTCTCATTTCTCTATAAAAAATTTTACATCAACAAATATAAGCAAATTTTCCGATGGTATATAGCAGAGTGATACAAAAATAAATGGCTAAAACTGAAATAATAGATTTAAACAGTTTAGGAAATCAAATCTAACGGTTAAAACATATGGCAGAAACACACACATATATATATATATATAGAGAGAGAGAGAGAGAGAGAGAGAGAGAGAGAGAGAGAGATTGTTATCTTACAGATAAGGTCCCCAACATAGAAAGTATGGTTGTTGGCCCAGAGGGTGTAGTTTTGGCCAGGATTCCAGCCACGGTTGGCTCCAACAATGTGGTCAGTGGCAAGGATTGGAGTGAGCACTGCAAGCCCCGAGATGATGAAAACGAGAAGCAAGATGTGGTCGTGGAATTTGGTGTTGGAGGAGGACTTGGACATCTCTTCCTTCACTTCCCTCCCTCTCTCTCTCTTCTCTCTCTCTCTCTCTCTCTCTCTCTCCCCCTCCCTCCGCTTCTCAGAACTCACTATAATATCACTCTAGTGGAGTCTGGAAAGACGGTTCAAAAGTTCAATTATCTGGGTTGTGTGGGAGCCACACAACACAACAATTATATTCATATATGGGGGTCCAATCCAACTATGTTGACAGAGTGGTCCACTGTTTAGTTTTTGGAAGGATATGGATTTGAATTAAAGCATCAAATAAAAGTGAATACTATATTAGCACTATCAAGTGACCTACTCTCTAAGGATATGGGCTCGTATTGTATTGGTTCTACGATGCAACTTTAACTTTTTTTCGAAGTGTTAGAGCATCGATCACTTAAGTGTGTGTACGTGATTGTGGATCGTTGATGTGATCTTGCATCAATAGCCGATAATTCATTTATTATAAATAGCTGAAGAAGGTACAAATGCAAAGTAAGTCATAGGTTTTTAATATGAACTTTAAGATATCGTCGTGTCAACTTGTTGAACTTAAAAATGGAAAATTTTTAATTTTTCCTTAGTATGTTAACGAGTCATGTAGGTTTGTCAGGTTTTAACCGAAATCGGAGAGGGCACATTTTAGATGCACTCCATGACATGTTTATTTCTATACATTTCTAGATTGAGGCAGAGGGTTCTAGAAAATTTACTTTAAATGAAGAGTTTTTAAAGCAGTGAAAAGAGTCTTAGGGGGTGTTTGTTTGACCTTCTTAGGTGGGACTGGATTAGACTACACTATAGTCTGATGTTTGGTATGGACAAGGATTAGGTTTAATGGGATTAGATCTGACTCGTACGGATTAAACCCCTCGCTAGGAGTTCCTAGCGAAGCACCCCAAAAATGCCCGGATTCGTAAGACCTCATGCGCTCATGCGAGAGAGATCCTCGCTCATCCTGCGAGAAAGTGTCGTTGACGGCCTCCTCCCTCACCTTCTCCTCCTCATCGCCTCTCATCGCCCACAATCTCGTATATTTCTTCCCGTCCCTCCCAACCGTTGAAGAATCCAAAGCAACATTAAGAATTTGGAATCTGGTTTGAGATCGAGAAGGCAAAGCTGGAGAGGGGAGAAAAAGAGGGAGAGGGATGGAAAAAATTAGGAAAAAAAATAGGGATTTGAAGTAAGGGACTAGAAGCACTTGCGGGGATAGCAGGCAAAGAAATATTTGAGATTCAGAAGGAAGAGAAAAATAAGAGACCAGAAGCCTCTGGAAAGAAAAAGAGAGAAAAAAAGAAGAAGGTAGAGAGCGTGCAGAGAAAGAATTAAAAAAAGAGTGTGTTATCCACACATCTTATTTTACTTCTCACACACCCTTGATAATTTTTGTCCGTTGATCTTCTTCAATTCATCCGCTCCGACGGTCGAAAATTTAAAAGGTGTGTAAAAAGTAAAATGGGGTGTGTGGATATCACACCCCTTAAAAAAAATGACAAAATATTTTATTCAAAAAATAATTTAGTCTATAACTTAGTCCGACACTGCACCAAACACTTTACTAATCTAGTGCAGCTTAGTCTAGTCTAAACCAGTCCAGCTTAGTCTCTGCAACTAGTCCCGTTCGAAACAGTCCGGTACAACAAATGCACCCTTAAATCTCCTTTTACCTATGTCCCGGTGTCGGAGGAGAGCAAATTTTCTGCACCCAAATGAGGCCGTGGCCTCTCTGTGGCTTTCATACAAAAGCGACACCTGTCCACTTACTTACGCACCTTAACTCTGTTAAGGTTTCTGTTATCTCCTTCGCCTTTCAAGTTTAAACGCGTCTCTCTGCTCCAGCCCCTCCCTAGTTCTCAAGCGACATGGCGGCCGTGAAAGGCATTCTCCAGCACCAACCTCCTTAGCCCCAACAACCATCGCAACCCATGGCGGTGGAGAGACTCAACGATGCCGTGCAGTAGTAGCTGAACATCGAGGTTGTCAAGACCCGAGCCATCAACTTCTTCAAAGCCATCTTCCACGCCAACACCACCCAAAAATGGCAAGACTTCCTGACCCAGTACTCCATGGTCAGCCTCGAAGCTTTTACCGGAGATGGAGGTTGAAGACAATGGCAAGAGGGAGCAATTGCTTCACGGGTTGCAGCCTCCCAATTTCTTTCCAATTTGATAACTTTCTCCCCAAATTGACAAGCTTAAGGTAATTTAGGGTTCAATTTGGCATCTGCGTCTTTGCTATTTTGAGTATGCTATTCACATTAGAGGTTTCAGGTGGTTGTGTGCAGGCTAGGGTTTTCGCCATTTTGGAAGCGGAAACGAGAATGGGGAGTCAGCGAGAAAGACGCTTGGTTTTTTTTTTTTAATTTGGGAGATAACAGAAACCTTAACAGAGTTAAGTTGTGTAAGTGAATGGACAGGTGTCGCTTTTGTATGAAAGCCACAGAGAGGCCACAGCCTCATTTGGGTGCAGAAAATTTGCTCTCGTGTCGGAGGGGGAGATGAATCATATTATGGTAAAACAAATTACACGTGGCATCAAGTGAATGGGTCCAAATGGAGTGGGTCCAGACATGGGACTTCTAACGCCTTGACACGTGGAACTTTGTCCTTTAATCGTTATTAAGAACGTAAAAAATAAAAAAACACTTGAAGGTCTTTAATCAAGTTCATTAATCGTCATTTTACTTTAATTGTCATTTTTCTTTGTTGATTTTTTGAAAAAACACTTAAAGGTCTTTCTAGAAGAAAAACGTACTAATACTAAGAGATCTGACCAAGAGGATAATAGAAACCGAATGAGGATGCTCTCCGAATCCTCTTTGTGAGAATCTTAGGCCATCTCCAACCGAGGGCTGGCCAGATGGCTCGTTTGAGCCCTCTGGCCCTCCAAGATTCCCCAAGATATTAATATTTTAATGAACAGTACAGGGCCATATTTGCCTCCGTCTCCAACCGAGGGCCAGAGGGCCAAAGGGCTCGTTTTAGCCCTGTCACAAAAAACGTCTCCAACGAGGGCCAAAGGGTCATTAGGGGCCAAACATAATTTATTATTTAAAAAACTACAATTTTAATGTTGTATAAATGCCTAGGAAGTTTACGAAAAAAATAGAATTGAAAAAAAATATGAAACAAATTTTGTGAAATAGAAGTTATAGGAAAAAAAATATGAAAAAAAATTTGATTCATATGAAAGGCAAAAAAAGGGGAAAAAAAGAAGTTTAAATTCATTAAAAAAAAA